CGAAAAAAATCTCTTATGTGTGCCAATCGAGGGCCAACTTGTTGTAACGGAGGCCCAGGCCGAGATATCACCTCGCCAAATTGTTGTAACGGACGCCCAGGCCAAAATATTCGCCGTCTAACTACGCCTCATCAAGCCCCCAGTGGGAAAACACGACAAGAAGTGTGCCGAGAGCAGAAGTCCTTGAGTTTTAGAGGTACAACAAATTGAGGGAAACAAACGTGTGTAAACGATGTCCCTTGAGCCAATCAGATTGTCTTCTGAAATAGTGGCCAATCCCATTGGCTGTTGGCTCAGTGAGTGAATGTAGCTAGAAATTTCAAATTACGATTGACTGTCTAGCTCGATGTGTTAGCTCGCGCACAGGCCGATCGATAGCCTATTGTGGACGCGGTTATGGCTTGCAAGCTACTGCTTGCTAAGGCTGTTGTTAGGCCGTCCTAACACAACTTTCCAGCAGCAGCATTCTGATCGTCTTATCATTGGCACGGTCCACTACCTTTGCTTTGTCAAAGGCGAAAGTGTGTTTCTTCTGTTGTACGTGGTCATAGACCATAGACAGCTCATTCTTGTGGCTGATTGCGAACTGATGCTCATGCAACCCTGTGCCAAGGCATCTGCCCGCTTCACTAACATACCTTGCATCACAGTTTTGGCATGGTATGCTGTATACCATTCCTCATTGTTCCGACCATGATTGTGGGTCTCTAGGCCTCCTGCGGTATAACTGAAACAGACATGGCAAACAGGAACTATCACCTAGCTACTATGACGATGGCAACAAGCGAGTGTCGAAAGCGTCAGTCTCAATATAATTCGGCCCATATCCTCGAACCGTCTTCTTCGTGCATATTGCTTTATACATGTGTTTGTTTTTGGCCGACAACTGTCTCCAAATGCCAAAGGGTGATTCTATCAAATTCAACTTAGGAGGAACATTTTTAGCGGAATTCTAAACGCCTAGCCAAAACTGACGGCTTTCTGGATGCAATTTGCTAAACCGGACATTAGTTAGCCCAAAACTGGCCGCCCAGCCCATATTCGCTGCTGAGGCTCCGTTTGGCTAAAGCACTTCGTCATTCGAAGAGTGCACAGATGAATTCATCTTCTAGCACTAGCGCCAGGGAGCCAGATGGCTGAGCAGTCATCACGCCCAAGTCCAACACGTGTGATGAAAGTTCACCAGGTCACGACTCGCATTCTGGCCATCAAGCAATTAGCACACAACCACGAAATCATCCTCAAGAGGGAGTATGAAGTAGCATCGCGGTTCCATCCTATAAATACTGCAACTCTCTTTTTCTGTTATCGTTTCTGAGACTGAATCCGCGACGGAATCCGAAACGTCAGATGAATTAACTTTTTATCCCAACGATCAAATCTGCTTCCGCTCAAAACAAATGTCTTATTTTCCTCTGCATTTATGGGTCAACATTCTCTCATCGTATTTAGGGCAGCTTAAACCCTTGTCTCGTAGTTTGTTTTATAATGTCACAAAAACAGTCTCCTGCACCTCAGAGGTCCAAAACATTTCTGCGAAAAGTAGTTAAAAAAACTGCGCGACATTTGACTGAACAGCTAACAACTCCCCTAAATAATTTTTTGAAGAGCACCATACAGTGAGATTAGTTGCGGTCATTTATAATTATTGGTACCTTTCCGCGCAAGGGACTTGTCACGATAAATTAACTGAACGCTTTTTTAGCCACAAATGTCTAAAATAAAACTCCAATGGCGTGCTTAGTTATCGGAAACTGCGTTCACGTACTATATATTTTTTTCCTAAGCTATGTGTACAAAATGCCCAAAATAGGAAATATTGCGAAGCAAAAAAACCTCATCATGGCGGAACATAGACGTAAATCAGCGTGCATTGCTCAGTGTAAGTGGGTGCTTTTCTCGCTTATGGTTAGAGGAAAGCAGAGTCATAGACCAATAACTATGATCCCCTTTCCAGACCACTATTAAAAGATCTACTTGCGTACGGAAATTGGTGATTGAATATTCGAAAAATGCGAGCTGAAGTGCAGTTCTCAAATATGTTCATCAACTTCAGCGAACACAATTTGCATAGCTGGGGAAGTAAAACAAGTAAACCTCCCCTTGTTTTACTTGTTTCAAGACAAACGTTGCGCCCTGAACTGCATTTATTTCAAAGTAAAGCTGGATAAACACCATTTTACGGTACAAACGACGAAACTCTCCTTTCTTACTAACTTATTTACCTTAGTCGCGGTACAGGTACTTGCTTAAATCTCAGACACATGTTTCATCTATATGATTCACTTACATGCCATACGGTGAGGGCTTCGGCCCACCCGTGGGTTCCATAGCAAGGCGTAATTGGCTACCAAACTAGTACAAGGAATGAGTCTTTCGTCCATGTTTTCGTTTTATAAAGCCAGACAAAATTAGTGATAAACATGCATACTACTTTGGTCGCCACTTTTTACAGTACATACGTTTTGTGAGCGGTCAGAAAGAATCCGGCATCTTATCGTAACTGAAATTATTTCAAAATAGACTATATGAAAATCCGTATAACAACCTTACCGAATGCCGATTAGCGAAAGATTATCAATCTTCCGCATATGTGGGCATGTTACGCAAATTTTGGGTCATATTGTATAAGTGATTGCTCTGACTACTGGGAACTTACATCCGCATAGCCAGGTGGCTAAGTGAAGGAGAGAATTTCTCCATTCCGGTAGAGGGCCGCCTCTACTCCCAACTTCTGTTCCTGTGTGAGCCGGTCAGGGAAGATGTACTTGAATTTGATATGTAGATCACCCTTCTTCTCGGGAGTTTCGGATATGGGCATGCCCTCGCCCTGAACAATCTTGACGTAGCCTTCTCTGTGTGGTTAGAACGAAGGGAGAAAAATTTAATTGTCGATTCGATCAAAGTAGGCAGCAAAGTATTCTTTTGTAGGGGAAACCACTTGCGCCGACAAAATTTATAAATGCGTATATGGCCTCATCTCAAGGGCATATATTGTCACTAATAAGAAACTTATCGATTGTGCTGGATGTTTGAAGTTTATTCAGCAAAATTCAGAATGGGTGTTTCTAACAGAAAAAGAGGTATTCATATTCCATGCTAAATGCAAGCCCTAGTGCATGCTTGCTCACTGAACAAAAGGTTTGAATAGTCGATTCGGCAAACACATGTTTTCAGCAATTCTTCAGTAGGCCAATACAGTTGCAGGGATTAAAATGGTCAGTTATGTGTAGTGTTTAATTCGTTCTCAGCGTAGGGAAGGGGGTGTACTTAGTCATCGCCGTGTTCCCTCGTCTCGCGCATGCTAGAGCCAGCCTGTTGAGGATCTTGGTTCTTGTGAGCAGGGAGGAGGGGGGAGGGGTGTTCGCACGGTCCGCGTGCGTGATTTCGAATATCGTGTGTTCGGGCGGCTTGGTATTCACTTGTGTATTTGGCCAAGATAGGCAGACTGCGGCTACCAGCGCCCTTTGACGGCAACTAGTGGGCTTTGATAAACGGATTGCCACTGCTTCGGCTGTGGCGAGCACCCGTTTGTGCAGGCCTTTAGAATAGTGCGTTTGTGCCTAGTATATGACTACAAAGTCTCCTCTCGCGTCAACTTGGAGCTTCGCATCGATTAAGTGTGCGATTACTGAACTTGAACTCGATTGATTTTCTCGTTTGCCGAGCCAGGCTGGTACGTATTCGCACACCCTCTTCTACAGACGTTGCATTGCTCGGCCAATATATCCCGCTCTACTGGATTAGGCGAAGGAGTAAATGCACATGGATGTGGCCTTAAGCGGGAGTCGGTCTTCCTTGCTAGCCGGACCCAATTTCCTCAACAGGCTGGCTCCGGCATGCGTAAGACGGGGGGACACCGCAATGACTAATTACACCTCCCCTTACCCTGAGAACCAGTTAAATGCTAAATATAACTGAGCATTTTAGTTCCTGCAACTGTATTGACCTAATGAAGAATTGCTGAAAACACGTGTTTGTCAAATCGGCGTTTTAAATTCAACATGGGAATACTTGCAGAACTTAGACAATGTTTTTTTAAAGCATTGCCCGCTGACTCGCTTACACCCCAACAAATGCATCACCATCCAGTTATGCTTCGTTTATCTACGTTGCAGCAGTGGCTGCTTCCTATGACTGTGGGGGCTGGATCATTCTATGCGAGGTTGGCAGCCATGTCACGTTCGCGATCACACGACTCGGTCGTCAAACCTTCCTGTTCGCCCAGGCACTTTTGCACGAGGGCAGTCAGACAGAAATGTCCTAGTAGCCAACAACTCTTCGTTGTCGCTTTAACGGAGCGAGGAGGAGGAGAAGGAGGCGGGGGAGGAGGAGAAGGCTTTATTCTTGATCACACGCGTGAATAGGGGTGGGAAGTTTGTTGAGCACAAATGAACACAAAGATAAAACAGTGACGCAACCAAAAGACTAAACGACCCGTCATGGACGAGAACTGCGAGGATGCCACGTCATCGTTAGAGCAAGAGTTGTATGTAAGCTGACGATTTCAGAATCAAAAACGAAGAGCCAAACGAAGAAAACCAACGGGGAAGCCAGAACCGACACGCTGGCGAGCAATAGCTTGTACTTCTGGTGTATACAAAGAATTTGCTCAACTGGTCAATGAATTTGGGATTGGCGTCGTTCACGGAGCTCACTTGACGATATGCAGGCAACTCATGCAGCCTGAAGACCCAATAATCGTTAACTAAAAATCCGTTGTCACTTACCGCATCGACTGTCTTTGTGGTCAAGCGAAGTATGTTGGTGAAACCGGCAAACGGGTTCTCACGAGACTGCATGAGCACG